TCAGTTTTGTGATTAGGTTTATCTGCTATTTATTCTTGCAGTTTCGGGTTCTAAGTTGCTTGAAATGACGTTACTGTACGTAAGTGTATCTGCACCAAAACCAAAACAAAATAATTAAAAAAATCGAATAAAATAAATTAATCTGAACACAAAAAAATGAAAAATATTTTTTATACTTAACTTTTAGAATTTTAGAATTTTTTATGAATTTTATGAATAAATATCTTTCGTGACCGTTTCTCTTTATGGGACTTGATCCGTCGAAATTCAAAATTTTAATTTCAATTAATGTATCTAAATGTACATATATTTGTTTGGTGGTAATTTAGCAAAAATTATGAAATAATGTTATCAATTACTTATGTATGTGGATTATATATAGGAAACGGGCAAAAAGTATATCTTTTAAATAAGTGGTATACTCAACTTAAGAATTGAGTATACCATTAATTAATTATTAATTAATTTAAAATATTTCATAAATTTATATACGTGAAGTGTTTTTAATGATGGTATTTCTACACATAGTGCGTAATTAAGTTTTCCCAAATGTAATAGTAGTAAAGAAATGAATATATGTATATACATATATGTAACATTTTCGTTTACTAACTATAGTATACGATTTATTATATAACTATCTTTCGCTTAATGAAACAGATAAAAATCCAACTAGAACACAATATTATGCCCATACCTACAAATTAATTCCAACTTAAGTCTTTACCAAAGCAAGAAAGAGTGCACCCATTTAAAATAGGTTAAAATAAGTCACACATTTTATATTTTAAATATCCAAACAATAAATAAATTTAACAACAATGAAAAACAATAAACGGTAACCATTACTTCTAGTTCTACTACTATTTCTAATATTACTAACCTTAATATTATTTTACTATTATTATTTTCATTATTATTCTTATTTTTATTGTAATAATAAATAAATAATGAAAAATTTATTTATTATTATTTTTTATAAGTAGACCATTAAGGTCCATTGCGTTACCAGATCAGGCTCCTTTTTTAGCGATAGTGTGCATCACTAAGGATGCGCGTATTATTCGCAAATTGTATTAAGACTTCAACAGCAACCTTAGGCATGTGCTCCAGTCATGTTAAACTGTAAGATCCCAAGTATATTTGTTGAGTTTTCAAGAGAGCCGGGCAGGTACACAGCAGGTGGTTCAGAGTTTCGGGTCGTTAAATAATAATTATATTTTTAATAGGACTTACTTATTTTATTTATTAGTTACCGCCTTACAGAGAAACTTGAAGTAGCGATATTTATTAGTTCATAATACTTTTATCCATAATGTAGATTTAAAACACCTCCATTTTCAGTTTTTCTTCCCTATTTTCAATTGTGAAACTGTATGCGAAAAGGATATTATAATGCTATTAGGCGGAAAAATGTTTTAATGTTCTTTCGAGTACACATATATGTAACGCTTCATTTTGGATAACGAGTCATTTGTGGGTGTAGAAATATAATAAAATGAAACTATTAGTCCTCTGATAAAACTACACTTAAGCCAATAAAAAATTATTGCAATACTTTAGTAAAATATTTTTATTGTTGTACTGTGTTACATTATTATTAAGTTATAATTTATTTTTTATTTCTAATAAATAATCGTAAACTTAAATAAAAAATTTTAATACTTTCATAATTTTTAATATTTGCTAAATTATGATTTTTGATGCCTTTTAGTGTACCGATATTAGGCTGAAAAGTTTCCAATGAATTGATTACAATTGCTACAGTAATGATCCAAGGTTTTACAGGTGTTTAAAGCGTACGGAATACATGAAAAACAGCAACAACTGCAATGAAACAGACTCTTAAATCCTTTTTTAGATATGTATAAGTTGAGTACTAATGTACCCAATAACTAGACAAATTACAGCAAATAAATGAGCCCATATTGTTGTACGATAATCCAGATAAGTCGTTGTTTCTTGGTTGCAATGAGGGCAGATTACTTTTTGTGGCGTATGTCCCAAAGGTGCTTGAACTGTTTAAAATTTTCTAATTATTTTACTTTTCTAATATTCAATATTAACATGTTTTGTGAAATTTTTAATTATAACATTGTGTTTAAAACTTATATACCGGTCACTTCCATTTTCATAAAATTTTACGATGTATTTGATATGACAGCTTACTTTTATTTGGACTACTGGTTGTTTTCTTATATGCTCGCACTAAAAGTCCTTTTATTACATATAGAACATATCTATCTATTCGCTAATAAATCATTAGAATCAGAAATAAATGTTCATTACGTCTAATACTTCTATTTTCGTAATAGCCAAAAACCATTAAATAAATTATTAAACAAATTATAATTTTGTTGTTAATTGTTATTAATATACATATCACCGTTATGACTATTAAAATTGTATACTAAACTGAGCTTCTTTTAGTATTCAAATTGAAACAATAGAAAAAACAGTTATAATGAATAAAATTATATTAAACTAGTGGCACATCACACCGGTTTACCATGTTGTTGTAGTCGTAATACCTATTCACACTTGCTCGGTAGATATCCGGTTTGTAATTGATTTCTTATTGATTAAGCTATGATACGTAAATAAAAATATTTCTACTAACATATCAACAGAAATTTATATATAATAATTTTTAAGTTAATTAAAGAAATACGTAATGAGAAATTAGTAGTTATACTAAATCGTAGTCCCTTCTTTCCTTGAAATTTATGCCAAATTCGTTGTATTGCCGTAGAAGTGGCAAATAGTGCAGTCTTTGTCCTACAGCTAAAGTTGATTCCAGAGAAAATCGATGAGAACGGACCGGTTTAGTGCCGATATTAGTTAGTGCAAGAAAGACCGTCTTTAATCAACTGCAAAAATATTAGTCTGTTTTGTTTCTGTGGTTTCGAAAATAGATAAACTATAATAAAATTTTATTTTTAATTCAAATATATATTATTATAGTATTAAATAAGTTTGAACCCACTTATGATTTTTTAGACATCAACGTTCCTATAAATGAAATATTGTGCACATTTGGGTTTTACACAAAACGTTGCACATTAAGCAGATTGCTTACCTATATTAAATGTTCTAGAAATTCCATGTTCTAGAAATTCCAGGAACTAAATCTCAGGTCAAAATATTCTTACTCGACGCATCATGTTGGTTTAACCATACCACATGTTGGTTTTCATGTCCGATCAATTTAACTAGTATGTGGTTAGAGCATATTTTTCTGAGTGTTAGCTAAAATCTTATTTAAATCTATGATCTTGAATATCTAAAGTTTATTAAAATTTCGTCCGTTGGAGACAAAGTAACCCAACTAACGAAAGTACTAACTATTTGTCTTTACGACTATCGGGAATATGTTAATATTTTAAAGAAAATAAGAAAAAAATTTTTTATAACATTTATTAGAGATAAATATAAGAATTACAGTTATACATATGTATATATTTATGTATTCATAAAAACAACAATTTATTAGAATATCTTTATTAAAAACGTTTAAAATTGCTTTTGATATTATTTCTTTTGCATCTTAGAAAATCTATAATTGTTTGATTCAAAAAATAAAAATTAAATTGACAATACATTTACTTTGATTATATTCAAAATAATGCTTATATATTATATAAAATTTTTTTTTAAAAAAACTAATTCCATTTATGACGTAGTATGTATCAAGTTAAATATTGAATTTTTACTAAATAATGTGTAATACGTATAAAAAAGTGTTTCATTTCTACTGACTGCACTTCTGCATGTAGCCATGAAATATTTTCGATTAAAATCATATATAAAATATATATTATAATGTACATATATCAATAAAACACTATATATTTAAGTATTTATTTTAAGCAGCTTTGTAAGAATGTTGCAATTAAATTAACAGCATTTGTAGCAGTGTAATTTCCTCATTTCGTTCATTTAAATTCTTAATTGTTTTTCAAAATTTGTTTCAATTGTAAAAAAATGCACATTTGAACTTTAGTGTCAATGCCGCTGTTTTAGTGCTAAATTAGTAAATGATCAACGTTCGTAGACTCCCAGGAACGCATTGCACGAAGGGCAGTGATGCTCAGCGTTGCGAGCACATTTAGTACAGTAAAGACAGCATGCACATGGCCAGCATCTGAAGATAAATAAAAAATATTTTATTTGAAATATTTCTTTTAAAAAAAAAAAATACTATGTACATATGTTAATACAATGAATAAGTTTATCAGTTTATTTTAATGATTAATAATAGAAATTTGAATTCTTTTATTTTGTGATTTATAAAACGTTTACACCATCTCAATTAACGGATTACGCATTTAACACACTAATTGTGTAGTAATTAGTGGTATTGTGTAGTAATTCTCATTGCACTAAAAAATGAAATGATGTAACTCATGAAGTTGGATATAAATTTATATTGTATATCTATTAGTTTTTAATGATTCAAAATTATTTAGTTTTATTAAATTTGATTCTTGACTTTTAAGCACATAACTATGTTAATATGATGAATATGTTTATCACTTTATTTTAACGATTAATAATCGAAATTTGGATGCTTTTATTTTGTGATTTAAAACGTTTACACTATCTCAATTAACGGATTACGCATTTAACGCGCTAATTGTGTAGTATTTAGTGCTATTGTGTATTAATTCTCATTGCACTAAAAACTGAAATGATGTAAATCAATAAGTTGGATATAAATTTATGTTGTATATACATATATTAGTTTTTAATTATTCAAAATTATTTAGTTTTATTAAATTTAAGTCTTGGCTCTAAGATTCATGTAGTATTAAGTAAAAAAAAAATATTGGGTATATTTTCTATTCGGTTGTTCGTTGTTTACTTACCGCAGTACAAATACTTAATAGTAATTATGCAATTATAATCAAACGGAATTCGCTTACCGCAGTTCAAATACTTAATAGTAATTATGCAATTATAATCAAACGGAATTCGCTAATTGTGAAGTATAAACACTATAAGTGTAAATTTATTCTTAATTGTACTTCTCATTTGTATGAAATTGTTTGATTGTTTTTATATGTTTTATTTATTATATGGGTTAAAAAACTACTATAAATATACAATTGTTTATATTACGGTATATAGTTCATTTTAGGCATTCCCATAATTACGCTTGATATATATGGAATTTTAAATTATGTACATAATTAAGTTATGAATTCTACTTACACAAACAGACACAAAATTAGCGCAATTATATGCGTTTTGGTCGAAGCTTTGTGTGAAACTTTTGTGGTTACTTGTTGTCTGCAGCTTGGGCAAACGACATTGCATGGTTCAGGTCCTACTGGAGTAGACATACTTAAATGCTTTTTGATTGTCTAAAAATAAAATATTAAAGAAATTGTTATTAAATTTCAATTTAATTAATACTATTCACTAAAATAATATATTCATTATTATTTATACGTGCTTGAAAATTTATGCACTTTTTATTAAAGACAGTAGTCATATTGCTTCAAAGATAATAATTTAATAAATATTTTTGAAAAAAAAAAACATTTACTCTACATATGAACAAAACTTTTTCAAAAAAATGAATTATAAACCATTATTACTTTTAGACTTATTCAAGTAAGAAAACTTGTTATAGATAAGTATAAAATTAAGAAATAATAAATAAATTTAAAATAATTTAAACGATTATCGTTTTTGAGATATTAAAACTTTTTGTCTAAAAGTCATCTTCGAATGATCGGCTCTTTGATATCTTGTATCTCAGTTGATATTAACTAGCAATATTGTTTATACATTTTTATCTCGCAGTATTTTTGCAGTTATTTCTATGTGTTTTAATAATAAAATGACAAACATTCTATTCTCTGAAATTTTTATTAATATTATAAATCATTTCAAAATATCAAAGTAGTTAAATCTTTGCAAGTGAGCAATGTACTCATATGTTAATAAATCTTTTCAGATGTGGCTACCAAGTATAACGATAATAATGTTCATAATAATAGTAATAGATAATAATAGTTCATATATAAATAAAATATCTATCATTTATCATTTCACTGGAATGTCAATTATAAAATTTTGCAATTGTAGTTTTGTTTTCTTGCTAAATTAAAAAAGTAGTCATGTTAATTAAAAATAAATTCCCCAGCTTTATACAATGTAAGTATCTTTGTAATATGATAATTGTTAAGTTTCATATTCAATCTATTATCATTGTATCAATTATTATAATTGTTTTCTTATTATTGTATTATTATTGTCAATTATTATAATTGTATTCTTATTAGTGCATTAATTATATGTGTACATAAGTACCTAAATTAGTTCTTATGTTGTTTTTGTTGTTGGTGTTTATTTGTGTTATCAAACATTTAGCAATGTTGCTGGCTCTCACAACTAAATATTCGCACGCTAGCAGCGTGCCAGACGTAACATGATCATCTTCACACGCCACTGTGCAAGGTTGATAAGCATTATGTTCATTTTCTTTTATCGTGTGTTCGTTGTGAGTTGCAGCAATAGGCAAGTCGCTGCGACAATTCTGTTGTTCCCACAGGTGCAATATGAGTTGGCGCATGGCTTCAGTGATAACACATTTAAGTCACCAAATTTGTGAAGCAGGTTGATATATGGCAAAATACATATATCAGCTTGCTGGTTGCATTAAATAGTATAAGCATAGGTAATGCACATATTTCCCACGAATGCCCTTGGCCTTGAATGTTCAAAGTCCATCGGATAACAAATCGTGGGAACTGGGTGCATTTCCTCCTTTACCATAAGCTTAGTGTTAAGAATTTTGTATAAAAGCACAACATTTTTAATAAACATTTGATTCAATTTAACAACCTGAATACAACCAAGTGTTTTCTTTTGGTTTAAGTGCCTAAAAGAACCTTGAGCAAAGTCGGTTTATGTGCCGAATTTGAAAATCAATAAACAAATAAATATCTATATATATATTTACATATATATCTAGATATCTATAAATTACGTAACTGGTTCATGTGCCGGATTACGTAAGTGAATTACTAAGCTGGTTAAAGTGCCGGATTAGTGAATCCGTATCAGACTAGATACGGAGGATAACATATCGTGAAAAGCTAAGCTGGTTCAAGTGCCGGATTAGCTTCAGTCCGTATCAAACTAGGTACGGATCATAACATTTTTGGTGACCCCGACGTGATTTATCACGCATCAGTGGACATACACGTGATATCACGCATCAGTATTGTCATTTGTGGACATACACGTGATCTATCGCGCATCAGTATTGTCATTTGTGGACATACACGCATCATTGTTGTCATTCAGTGGACATACACGTGATATCACGCATCAGTATTGTCATTTGTGGACATACACGTGATCTATCGCGCATCAGTATTGTCACTCACGCAGCAGTATTGTCATTTGTGGACATACACGCATCATTGTTGTCATTCAGTGGACATACACGTGATATCACGCATCAGTATTGTCATTTGTGGACATACACGTGATCTATCACGCATCAGTATTGTCATTCACGCAGCAGTATTGTCATTTGTGGACATACACGCATCATTGTTGTCATTTGGTGACATACACGTATCAACATTTCAACAATCAATTTTCTGGTGACCATGGAGGACCTTATCAACCAACAGGCTGAAACAGGTGCTGAAATCCAGAACATCATAAGAAACTTCAAGAAGGATGGTCAGGCAAGGAAAACCCAGGCGTACTATGAAGAACGACTGAAGCGTTTAAACTCAGCGTGGGAGTCCTTCGATGAAGTCGACAGTAAAATTCAGAGTCTTGATTCAATTCCAGTCGGACACGACTACATAAAAAAGGAATATTATCAAGAGATCCTGAATATTTACAAACAGTACAGCCGACAATTTGAAGCGGCCATTCAACAATTCAACCAAGAAGAAATAGTCGAGCCTGTAACTGTTCCATCAACATCAAGATTTGATGTTGGACACACAGATGATCCAGCGTGCGGCCCTGATCCACAGATTCAAGGGCTCATCAACAAACAACGCGCAATATCATGTTCATTATTGCGGCTCATCAATGGCGTCAAGCGCATATACGAGCAACAGCCTCTGTCATATTACCAAGTAAATATTGACAGAATTAACAAATTATGGCAAGAAATTGAAGCCGTTAATTTTAAAATCTGGGAAATACATTCCAATCCAATAGGAGTTGGATATGATATCCAGAAATATATTGAACTAGAAGAAGAAGTTCAAAATGTGCTGGTGTCACTAACATCAAAGGTGACATCAAATCAACAGCAACCGCCTCTCGTTGCGGAAAAGGTGCAAGTTAGGTTACCTAACATAACAATTCCGAAGTTTGACGGAACATATACCAAGTGGATGGAGTTCGACAACTTGTTCACAGAAATGATCCACAACACTCAGTTGCCAGACGCACAGAAGATGTGGTATTTAAAAAATCATTTAACTGAAGATGCAGCAGGATTAGTAGCACATCTAGCTCTAACCAATCAAAATTATGCAACAGCATGGCAGATATTGAAGGAACGGTATGACAATAAAAGAATTATCGTTTCGTCCATCATCCAGAAACTCATGAATCAAGCAACTGTGAAGGGTTCAGCAGCGAATGACATTCGGGTCATACATGACTGTACACTGGAAGGGTTATTGGCATTAAACAATTTGGGCATTGACACCAGTTCCTGGGGTCCAATATTGTTATATGTATTAAATCAAAAATTGGATAAACAAACTAGACTGCTATATGAACAGTCTCTAGTGCATCCGCGCGAATTACAATCAATTGATGATTTTCTGCTATTTCTGGAAAAGCGATTTCAATCATTGGAAAGTGTCTATCCAAATCAACCAGCAGTCAAAGTAGTGACAGCAACAGTAACTACAAACAATACGCTATCTTGCAAGATGTGTCACCTCAATGGCCATCAAATTTACCAGTGTGACAAGTTCTTGGCATTATCAGTTCCTGATCGTGTCTCCGCAGCACAACGGTTGAAATTGTGTTTCAATTGTCTTCGCAGCGGACATAGAACAAGTGATTGCAACAGCAGGCATTGCGTCAAATGCAATAAAGCGCACAACACATTACTCCATCTTCAGTACAATGTAAAGGCGCCAACAACTGGCGCACCTGAAGACCACTTCCTCCAATCAAGAAGAAGCTGCTGCTGTTTTAACTACAGCACTGTCAACAAAACCATATGTGTTGCTTGGGACCGCCAAGGTCAATATTAATTCAAATACTGGCGAAGCAATTGAATGCAGAGCCATTCTGGATTCTGGTTCTCAAATGAACCTAATGTCAGAAAACCTGGCCAAAAAATTACAACTACAGCTAAATCCAAACCCAATATGGATCACAGGAATTGGCACAGGTAAAAGAAGGGCAAACCATCAGGTCACTGCCAACATCTCGTCACGTACCACTAATTTCAACATAAAATTGAAAGCAGTTGTAATGGAAAAAATTACCTCACCTCTACCAAACAAATCGTTCGACATATCTCAGTGGCCGATCCCCAAAAACATCAAACTCGCCGATTCCGAGTTTAATGTAAACAGTGATGTCGATTTATTAATAGGTGCCGAGCATTTCTATTCGTTAATATCAAGAGGTCAAATTCATATGACCAACAATTTACCAGTATTACAGAATACCGTGCTTGGTTGGGTATGCAGCGGTGCCTTAGGTGGATGTAATCAGGATACAATCACTTGTATAAAGGCCACCGAAAATGAGCAAAAATTAGATAAAGTTGCGAATCATGATGGGCAAGTTACATATGTCGAGAAAAAACGTGAAGCAACATCTATTGGAAATACTCGTCAAATTAAGGAATCGCCAGTAAATCGAAGTGTGAATACCCATCCAAGAATTAAAGGTAAAATTCGAGTGGCAGATGGTAAAACTAAGAATGGTAGTTTGAAGCGGCCAATACATCAATTGGCACCGGTACCAGCAGAATTACATTCGTCTACCACTTCACACCAACTTCAACCTGAAGAAACGCCACTAAAACGGGCAAAACTCTATGTACTAGCGTTACTCATCATGTTCTATCTACCGCTGATATCTGCTAATGGGATCAGCATCACATCGTTCAATAAAAAGCCTGGGATCCATTTTGAACACATGGGTTCAATCATGAGATCACCAGCAGAATGGACAATCATAGCCTACTATGATATAAGTTTTCTACAGTTAGAGGTCGAATTTATCACAAATGCAACTAACTCATTGGCAACCATATGTGACCAAATGAATGGTTATAACAATTGCTGGGTCTTAATTGACCAATTCAAAATGACAAACTTAGAAATGTTGTCAGCTAGTATGATAC